GACTTTATGCAGACGCTCATTGTGGAGAGAAAGATATTCCACGCTACAGAGGTGGTGGTTATGCTCTACAACGACGCGTGGCTAATGCTATAAAATTAATTTCCTAGATGGCATTTTTACTGCGATGTGAGAAAATTTTACATTGTGAAGAATGCGTAAGAAAATTCTCACTCCCATAGTCAGTAATCTCACTTTTGATTTAAATTTTAATTAAAGTACCAGAAACTTAAACATTCTTCCGACAGTAATTCAAACACGTCCTGTCAACCTTTTGCTGCCAAGAATGTGTTCAGCCGAGCAGGAGAAAATAACTAATCAATACTACATTCTGATCTGATACCAAAATTTGGTATTGATCAGCATGACATAAGAGATAAAATACCAAAGAATAATACCAAAAAATTGAATGCTAAATAGTTTGTAAAAAAACAAAAAATATATATTTGTATACCAAAAGAATACCTGTGTGGTATTGTTTCGGTATTGCATTATCATAATTTGGTATTGGCATGGTATTGTGGGACCATTTTTTTGGTATTTTACCTCTTATGTCATGCTCATCCATACCAATTTAAGGTATCGAGATATTTGTTCCTGCTCTTGAAGACCAGGAATTCCCGAGCAGGAAAAAATTACTTATTAATACCAAATCCAGGAAAATAGCATAACTAAATATGGTTTTAGTGAGGCTGACATAAGAGGTAAAATACCAAAAATAATACCTCAAAAATGTACGAATAACGAACTAATAAATAATTTAGTTATTACAATAACAAACGGATAACAGACACTTTTTTAGATGCCAGAATACCATACTTTATTATTTTGAAGGTCTTATAATACCAATTCAATAACTCTTTTAGGTGATTTTGTCTAAAAACTGAAAGATCACATTTTGTTATTTGATATTGTACAAAATATTTTGATAACTGAATAATAACAAAACAAGGTTTTATACCACAAGCATACCGAAATCTTGTGTCATACCACATTAAGATATTCATTTGTTATCGATTAGCTATCGGTTCCTGCACGAGAACCTGAGCAGGAACGAATATCTCGAAACCTTAAATTGGTATGGATGAGCATGATATAAGTGGTAAAATACCAAAAATATGTTCCCACACTACCATTCCAATATCAAATTATGCAATTGCAATTCCAAAACAATACCACACAGGTATTCTTTTGGTATACAAATATCAATTTTTGTTATTCGCAATGTATTTTGTATGTAATTTTTTGGTATTATTCTTTGGTATTTTACCTCTTATGTCATGCTGATCAATACCAAATTTTGGTATCAGGTCAGAATAAGGTATTCATTAGTTACTTTCTCCTGCACGAGAACTCAAAAAACCCCTGAACTCTGCGAAAGTATTAAAATTTTAAATGCAGCATTGTTTGAATTTTACGAAATCCAATATGGTTTACACTTCGGAATACGGGTCATGGGGTTTTGCGTGGGATTTGACACGGGAATTCGCTCGGGAAATTTTTCCGATGACATTTCTTTTACATTAAATTGACTTTTCTCACGATTATAACACGCACACATGTGTAATCCCATTTTTAAGTGCGAATTTTGTTATGCACGCTTTTTCACCAGCCAAAAAGTGCGTTTTTTTATCGCTATTCTCACTGTCAGATCACTAATCCTCACGCAATAGAGCATTTCCAGCCCAAAATGCTAAAAAAATGTCAATTTTGTCTCGGCCCATTCCAATTTGAATAAAACACAGCTACCAATGATTGCATTTTTCATCTAATAGTATATTTTAGGGGCAACTTTTGAAAAGGGCGTATTCAAAAAATTGATTATATTTTAACAAAAAATCATGATCGCAGGCGCCGGTGGTGTAGTGGTTAGCGTTATAACATCTCACCCCAGCAGGTATGGGTTCAATCCCAGTTGGCGCCGCCGGGATGTTCTGAGGCATAACATCTCTGATCACGCCTTCCTTCGGAAGGGAAGTAAAGCCGTTGGTCCCCGGTTCATGAGTTGATGGGTATATAGGTAGGGTCCAGGTGTGGGAGCTGCCTCTCTGGCGTTGGTAGCATTTGGTGCTCTGCATGGAAAACAAGATTGACGGAAAACAAATCAAGAAAAAAAGATCATGACATGAAAATGATTGATCTGATCAAAATGACATCTGAGAAGCAGTTGAAATTATTTAAATATTCTCTCATTCTAATGATAAACCCAAAATATACAATGTATTCAAATATTGTTTCTTATCTCACCAATACCAATAATACCACCATATCTGAGAATAAATTGTTTGTTATTTAATATACATTCATGGAAAAAAAACATGTTGTTACTGGACATTGCGACTTACATTTCAAAATGGTAAAAAAGATTAAAAAATACATGATTATTATTTTTTTACATTCGAGAAAACCTGGACTTGGGAAAAAAAGTTTCTAGGAGCAAATTTTTTCAAAATGTCTGCGTAAAATCTAACTAAATTACTATTTTACAAAAAAAAATCAGTTTCGTTATTTTTTTAAAAATCCAAAAAAAATATAAACTTTTTTTGAAGCAAGTTATCAGCTTACACTTTTCACCAAATTTTAGGGCATTACTTCAGCTGGCAAGACGTTTATGAGTGGTTTTAAAAAAAAAGAGGAGCTCTAGGTTCACTTTCACGAATCGATCACTTTTACGGATGTTCCGTATCTTCAGGTGAACTATCCCGTGGTCCCCAGGGTTCATTTGCTGGCCACAATTTCAAATTCATTCTGATAAGACGTCTATGAAAGGTTTATAAAAAACCACAGAGCTACAGGATCAGTTTCATGAATTGACCATGATCGCGCACGGGCGGGATCCCTACGTTGTGTTTATGATCGTTGTGATAGGTACGGAGATGGAAATAAATAAAACACACAGTTTGCTTGACCGTCCTGCCATGGCGGAGGTATTCGAGATACTATATTGTTTTCTATATTTCTTTGTATAGTAGCTACAGTGGGTAGGGTAGTTGTACATGTAGATGACATTGCACAAACAGACCATTTTTACGGATGTTCCGGATCTTCCACTGGACCAGACTTGTCTCCTACTGGAAACTGATTCTTCCCAAAAGGTGGTCAAATATCTGCTTAACAACTTCTCCACATACATCTGGAAGTTATCTCTTCAAATTGTAGTACAATCAGTGTTTGGTCCCAATTAGCTGAAATCTCATATGGTACGTGTATTCGTTAATGCCGGATCGACCGTACTATAGGAATCCAGTGGCATCAGTACTAGAGCAATCCAGCAAGAACGAATCCGCACTATAGGAATCTTGACTGTAATAGATATTTTTGATTTATAGTTATGCTTCCTTCTTTTGAACATGAGCAGCTCGTTCGAGTTGTAGGGATTTGTGAAATTATTAAATAATCAATGTTGTACATTTGTAGAAATGTTTCATTCTTTTAACATGACCAGTTCTTTCAAGTTGTGCTGATTTCAGAAATTTTTGAAAAATCAATCATTCCTCCTTCTTTTTAACATGAACAACTCATTCGATTTGTACTGATTTCGTTATTTTCTAAATATTCAATATTTATAGGAATGCTTCCTTCCTATAAATATTGCCCATTCGCCGAAATGACCCATATAGCAAAATGTCCTTCGGCGAAATGTTCTTTGGAGAAACGTCCTTCGGTGGAATGACACAGCCCAAAGTGAACATGTGATTAAATTATGTTACAACGAATGGAATTTGACTACTACACAACAAAATCACAATGAAGAAAGGGTTACAATGGTGCACCAGCGATACTATCAATCGCTCAAGGACTCCAAACCAGCTAATCGGTAACCCTGTGATGTTGGGATTTCACATACAGTCCACCAAGTACAGGTCGAAGTCTTTGACAAAGGTTAACATTGGCCACACATGCTCCGGGTATCACCGGGAATGAAACCTAAATCTGAAGTAAACTATAGTCACATCAAATCACATCAAAATTCAAGTATTTGATTATTTACGGCCAGTTAATGCGCCAAAAGTCACATTGGGCACGTTCCGAGTGATCCCTAGCTAGAATTTGCCATAAACCAAAATGTATGGCATGGACATTCAGATACAGACCTACATATATTGGGGCCACTCTTAGCTCAGTCGGTAAAGGCGCAACTATAATGCAAGCCCATGGTGGAGGCTGCTGGGTTAGATTTATAAAGCAAGGTCTAGGAATTCGTGTTAAAAAACGTCTCGACTTCAACGGGGTATGGAGTATGATTGCACTTGCCACACAATAATACTAATTCAAAAATGGTACTGGCTCACAAAGCTCTCGATTAACAACTCTGGAAGTGTTCAAAGAATACAAAGTTGATAGCTGGCGTAAAGTCCCAGTAGGGACCTAATAAAGCCATAGAAGATGCTTCATACAAAAAGGAAAAAACTGTATGAGTCAGACGGATGTCGCACGGATAGATAGGAATGGAGAAATCGTATGCACATAGAATGCTCCCGATTAACAACTGTGGAAGTGATTGGAGAAAACAACGTCGAGAGCTGGCGTTAAAATTCCAATTGAGAAGTAATAGCCGTGAAAAAGATCTATGATATGATTCAGACTCAGACCATACCGAAACATGTATTCATCAAATATCACTAAATTAAGTCAACAATTTGCGAGCTTGGAGAAAACTTTAATTTTGTATTCAGTGCATGCTTACTTCAAATATTATTTAGCACGTTTATGCCCAATCCTCCCTTTTCACGATGTTCAAATAAAATACTGTATCTATCCAGGGCTGTTGTATTAGTAATTGAAAACAAAATTCTCAGAAACACCACAAGCAAACATTAATCATAAAGCAATTAGCTTATTTGGCGACTCTTATCACCATTGCGAAGCTATACTTCGGATCTTGGAAATAAGTTTAAACTCCGTAGACAACAAATTCATCTCTCATAAAGCAAATATTGGCTCTGCTACTAGTCAACCACCTAGATCCCAGATAATCCCTGATTATTTATTTATCAAAATACCTTTTTTATCTTATTTTGTGTCATCCAAGCCGATCGGTACTATATACGGTGGACCACATAGGATCCGCTATCAGTTCGTAAATTGAACGGCACGTTTCAACACCAGCCGTACACAGCAGGGTGATGATGCCACGCTCTTGTTCCCTCGATGATTAGTAGACTGCCGTCCGGTCGAGCGGCAGTTGGGAGCGAATTAGCGGATCGGCTTACACACTTCAACACTTTTGCAGCACTCTATTTTTGTCGCCCCTATTCAACTTTGCTCACTACTGTTGTGATTGTGATTTGCTCGAATATGTATGGTATTTTATCGCTCCACTGACTTCTTCTTTCAGGGGGAAAATTCAAAATTCCGCCCACGGTTTTCCACTCGCACTTTCTGTTTCGATTTTTGATCGGGTGATTTCCGAACACTTTGGCTTTGATACTAAATATGGATAAAATTAAAGTAACTCGGATGGGATTATTTCGTTGAATTTCGGGGTAACTTAGGAAACTTAAACACAGCCAAACTGGGGTTCGATATTTTTTTGTGTGTAAATTATAAACTCGTGCAATATTTTGTTTAAATCTGTGTTCTTGCTTTTTCGTTGCGATTCCGGAGATTATCACATTAATCCCTTCAATTCGTTTTCTCCGAACTATTTCCGCCGATTTCCACCGTGCGTTAATCAAATTCGCATTGTTATCAGAAATTGTTCGATTACGACACACTGCGTTCGCGTTAAATTAGTTTCAATTAAAAATAAGTATGACTTAACTTCGATGTTGGTCGCAGATAAATATTCTAAGTGAGTGAGTGACTTAAAATTAAAATTAAATGTTTCCTTGCGGGTGGACGACGACTGACTAAAGACCGGCCGACAGAATCACGCAAAAATTTCCCCAGAGAACCGAGACGAGAGTTTCTGCGCGAGAGAAAGAGAACATGTGTGAAAGTTCGGAAGACCTAGGTACCGACCTATACCTAGTGTTGTTTATTTCGACGGTTCGCATCTTGCGTCAGCCGCGGCTAGTTGAGCACACGAGCTTGAGAGCGACGATTTAGTTCTTCCGGAGGTCAAGCGCTAGGGGGAGACAACTGGGGAATAGATTTGAATCATGTATAATTTTATTTTTTTTAATGTGTGCAAAATTATGGTCAGAACTATTTCTATTGATTTAGCATAGATAATGTTCAACAGACGAATGAAGAACTTGCGAATAAGAATTAAAAAGAAGCCAGATGTCCTGTCCTGTCTTAGGTCGAGCGCATCTACTCTCGCTATGGGACGTAGGGTAAGTGTAACAGTTATGGCTTTACGTTCCTCTTGTAACATGGGGCATCGCATATGCCATAAGTCGATCCATGACTGGTACACTTGCCTTTCACACACATCGAAAAACTTTTTCAACCACTGCCTGGCTTCCACAAGGTTGGTGTTTGTTTTTGTCGCATATGGGATTTACCGGTATAAATGATGGAGAGGTGGAACACTATGGACTAGGGTGTCCCAAAAATTTGTTTTCGAAAAGTTAACTTGCTCTCTGCTAGAATGGTAGATTAGGCTGTTAGAAACTATATCGGAATACATGAAAATTATACAAATAAAATGAAATTCGCAAGATTCGGTTTTGCCATTTTTTCAGAACAATTTCCAATTTTGTGTTCAAAGGGGTAGACATATAATCGTAATAAATGAAACCAATACCATATACTAAATCAATTTTTTTTTTTTTTTTTTTTATAAATCGTTTATTTTTCCAGGCTCATTTGCTGTAGCTTTGCGGAGCCGATATTCATTGTTTAAATAACAAAATTACTTAAAACTAACGTTAGTAAAGCGGAGGCCGATTACTCGCGGCTATCTCGAGGTTAGGGGTAACAAATTGTAACAAATGGATGGCAGGGTAGGGATTGTGAACACAAGGTTTGGAGAGCAATGTGCTCTTGATCTCGAACTAGGCGACACTCTGATGAAAAAGACAAACATGGGGGTACACCGATGGGTAGCTAACAACTTGGGAGAACACAAGATGACACTAACTTCTAAATCCTCAAATCTATCCGTTTTAAAAACACATAAATTAAATTCAAATAGTCAAGGTCTCGGCTCGCCAAGACATCTCTAACGGGTATCGCGGGTTGTTTTCCTCGGGCCCTGAGGGATGTGGATAACTCAGATCTGGCAACACGGTGTAAGGTACACGACCAAACAACATGCTCGATATCGTGATAACCACTGCCACACGCACATAAATTGCTGCCTGAGAGCCCAATTCGATAGAAGTGAGAGTCTAACGAGCAGTGATTGGACATAAGCCTTGATATAACGCGTATAAAGTCGCGGCTCATGTCCAACCCTTTGAACCATGGCTTGTTCGACACCTGAGGGAGAATAGAATGTAACCATCTTCCCAATTCACCATCATTCCATTTTTGTTGCCAACTGATGAGGACTTGCTGACGAGCAATGGAGAAAAATTCGTTGAAGGCGATTTGTCGCTCAAAAATATCGCCTTCCATAGCGCCCACCTTAGCCAATGAGTCCGCTTTCTCATTACCCGGAATTGAGCAATGAGATGGGACCCAAGCTAAGGTGATAGTATAGGAGCAGTTAGATAAAGCACTCAGTTTAGATCGTATTTCAGGCAGGAAATACGAGGAGTGCTTCATCGGCCTCATTGAACGAATAGCCTCCAATGAGCTAAGACTATCCGTAAAAATAAAATAATGGTCAGACGGTAGTGAGGCGATTCGCTCTACTGCGTAAAATATAGCTGCGAGTTCCGCAACGTATACTGAGCATGGTTTCTGCAGTTTATAAGAGGCGCTATGAAATTGATTAAATACACCAAATCCAGTGGAAGCATTTATGGTTGACCCATCTGTGAAAAATCTTTTATCGTTACTTACATGGTGGTACTTGATTGCGAAAATTGAGGGAACAACCATCGACCGATGGTGATCTGGTATTCCATGGATTTCTTGCATCATGGTCAGATCAAAATTTACAGAGGAACTATAGAAGGCTTGAAAGCAATCACGATTGGAGATTAATGAAGAAGGACCAACCTCCAGCGTCATGTACTCATAGTACAAACTCATGAATCTTGTTTGAGGATTTCTGTCGAGTAGCTTCTCAAAATTTTCTATTACCAATGGGTTCATTACTTCACAACGGATAAGAAACCGGAAGGACAGTTCCGCGAAACGATCTGTCAGTGGGAGAACACCCGCGAGTACTTCGAGGCTCATCGTATGCGTGGAGTGCATACAGCCAAGCGCGATTCGGAGGCAACGGTATTGAACCCGTTGTAGCTTCAGGATGTGTGTTTTTGCCGCGGATTGAAAGCAGAAGCTACCGTACTCTAGGACCGACAAGATGGTTGTTCGATACAACCTGATCAGATCTTCCGGGTGTGCTCCCCACCAAGTTCCAGTAATTGTACGAAGAAAATTAATTCTTTGCTGGCATTTTTGTTTCAGATACGCAATATGTTTTCCCCATGTGCATTTGGAATCGAACCAGACACCTAAATACTTAAAAGAAATACTTTGAGTGATTGTTTTACCCATTAGCTGAAGCTGTAACTGTGCAGGATGGTGCTTCCTAGAAAAAACAACCAACTCAGTTTTCTCCGGAGAGAATTCGATACCCAGCTTCAAAGCCCAAGTAGACAAGTTGTCTAAGGTATCTTGCAATGGTCCTTGCAGGTCCGGTGCACTTGGCCCTATAACAGACACAACGCCGTCATCTGCAAGCTGCCTTAGCGAGCAATTTTCATCAAGACAACCATCAATGTCTTTGACATAAAAATTATAAAGAAGGAGGCTTAAACATGAGCCCTGGGGGAGACCCATGTAACTAATTCGTGAAGTTGTCGAGTTTCCATGAGAAAAGCTCATATATTTCTCAGACAACAAGTGGCTCAAATAGTTGTTCATAATTGGTGAAAGCCCACTATCGTGGAGTTTATCCGAAAGGACATCGATACAAACAGAATCAAAAGCCCCCTTAATGTCCAAGAAAACTGAACCCATTTGCTGTTTTTGCGCATAGGCCAGTTGAATTTCAGTTGAAAGCAACGCAAGACAGTCGCTCGTTCCTTTGCCTCTCCGAAATCCAAATTGCGTATCTGAAAGTAAACCATTCGACTCGACCCATTTGTCTAGACGAAAAAGAATCATTTTCTCCAACAATTTCCGTATACAGGACAGCATCGCGATGGGACGGTACGAGTTATAATCCGACGCAGGTTTACCGGGTTTTCGAATGGCGATAACTCTTACTTGCCTCCAATCATCCGGAACAATGTTGTGCTCCAGAAATTGATTGAATAAGTTCAACAAGCGTCTCTTCGCGACGTCTGGGAGATTTTTGAGCAAGTTAAACTTGATTCTATCCATTCCTGGAGCTGAGTTGTTACATGAGAGGAGAGCAAGTGAGAATTCCACCATCGAAAACGGAGAATCTATTTCGTTATTACCCGACGGACGATCACGAACGTTGGTTTGAACCGGCACCGAATCCGGGCAAACTTTCCGCGCGAAGCTGAATATCCAACTGTCTGAGTACTCCTTGTCTTCGTTGACCGGTGATGACGCGTTTCGCATTCTCCTGCCGACATTCCAGAGTGTTCTCATGGAAGTCTCTCGCGACAAACCATCGACGAACCGACGCCAGTAACCGCGTTTCTTGGCTTTAATCAAGCCCTTGAAAGTTTTCTCGAGGTCGGTGTACCGCTCGAAATCCCCGACCTTACCGTGTTTGCGGAAGCGTTTATACGCGGCGGACTTCTCGCTGTTCGCGTTGGTGCAATCCTTATCCCACCACGGAGTGAGAGGTCGTCTGCGAATGGAAACACCCGGAACGCGTTTCGTCTGTGCTTGAAGAGCGCAGTCAACGATAAGTCGCGATAAAAAGGAGTACTCATCCAGCGGAGGGAGTATCTCAACCGATTCAATACCACCGAGAACCGTGGCCGCAAATTTTTTCCAGTCGATGTTTTTCGTGAGGTCGTACGCGATGTCAACCGAGCGAGTGGAAGATGAACCATTGGTAATAGAAATTTTGATTGGCAAATGATCACTACCGTAGGGATCTTGGATTACTTTCCACGAGCAATCCAACGCTAGTGAACTCGAACAAAGTGAGAGGTCTAATCTGCTTACTCTTGCTGGAGGTTTGGCTACTCGTGTTGCTTCCCCGGTGTTCAGAATTGTCATTTTGAAGATGTCGCACATGTCGTATATCAAGGTTGAGCGGTTGTCGTCGTACAGTTCCCCCCAGCCTGTACCGTGAGAGTTAAAATCTCCTAAGATCAACCGAGGCTCAGATAAAACTGAGCAGATATCTGAGAGACCTTGGCGAGAAATCGCAGTTCTCGGAGGAAAATATACTGAGGCAATACTGAGGCTTTTACCTCGAATATTTACCTGACACGCGACAACTTCAATGCCTGTCACGGAAGGCAGATCGATTCTATAAAAGGAATGGAGCTTATTAATCCCTAGAAGCACCCCTCCATACGAATCTGCTCGATCAAGGCGAATAATGTTAAAATCGTGGAAAGGGAGATCGGTGTCTGAAGAAAGCCATGTTTCACAAAGAGCAAATGCGTCACAAAGTGAGTTGTGAACTAAAAATTTGAATGCGTCAAGTTTCGGTATAAGACTTCTGCAGTTCCACTGAAGAAGAGAGATCATATCTCCGACCTCATTCGGAAAATTATCCATCAAAGATATGATCGATGCAAGGAAGGACCACCTAGAAGCTAGTTGCTTCAAAAGAGTTTTCACAAATGGAAGCACTAAATTAATAATGTTCCTAGTTGAGTCAGAGACGTTGAATATATTG